TTACATGTGATGCCTGTCAACACTCACCCTGTTCACTTTTCTTGTTCACTGATGATTGCTGTTGCCTCCATTTCACCTTTCAGAAATTGTCAGGTTTATAGCCCTGGAAGAAGCTTTCATTGACCCATCTTTACACACTGGTTATATAGAGTTGACCCTCTGTTTGTATTTGCCAGACATGTACAATAATCATTGAATGTGCAGCCAGACAGCAGCATGTGCTGCTTTATAAAGTTAGCAATCATTGGTGATGGAGCCCTTAGATCCCCATATTTATTACAGATTATGGAAAAAAGTTTAGAGGAGAGGCTATAGGTGGAAGGGAAACTGGAGAAAGAGGGTAGAATTATAGGTGGTAAAAGGGCCCCAGTTTTGTTGAAATCTTTGCCATCCTTTGACATTTTTTGTATTCCATTTTTTTCATTTGTGAAACTCCTTACGATTTCTCTGCCTACAGGTGGCTTCTGCCTTCTTGAAATTTTTTTACTCAATCATACATTCATTGTCATGTATTGCTTGCTCTGCTTCTATGCTTACTTTTTTATGTATCTCACATCCTGGATTCTTTGGAGGTTAGGCCCATTTGTTGAGGACATAGAGTGAAAGGCTTAAGGTCCAGGCTCTGGGACCACCCTGGGTAGATGTGAATCCTGGCTCTTGAATTCACTGCCTGACCTTGAACAAGGTATTTAACGTATTTCTGTCCTCATCTGTAAAATAGATGTAAACTGTTGGATTGTTTTGTGTATTAAGTGACCTAATACATGTAAAATACTTACAGCAATGCCTAGGAAGTGGTATATACTCAGTGAATCAGTTCTGGCTGTGGTAATGATAATGTTGTACATATTTGTTGTTGTTGTTTTTCTCTGCTTAACAGTTGCTTACAGAATACCTTGCATGATCAAGATATAATTATAATGAGTATGTCAGCTGAACATTCATTGTCTTATAGGACATCTTGAGCTCCTTCAGGTCAGGGACCAGATTTTGTTTATCTTTAGTGTCCTTAGAATCTAGCACAATGCATGACACATAGTGGACTCTCAGTAATGTTACTGAATTGGATATATTTGAATGGAGATAATATAAACAATATACTGTACTCTTCTCAGTATTGGATACTTCTGAAAACGCAGTTACTCAATGTCAGAAACTTGAAATTGTCTTTCACAACATTACCTTTTAGTGTTATCATTTAATCTACCACCAAAGCAGTAACTTTTAAGATCTCTAAGATCTATACAATCTATAAGATTGGAACTTGTAAGATACCTAAGATCTAGAAGATCCATAACTTCATAATATAGGTGATATATGTTGAAAAGATGGTAATAGAATAATTGTTCTTATATTTATGCGTTCTTGGACTTGTAATTTCTAAATGGAAAAGAAAATACATTTGTACAGATACCTGAAGTAGGAGATTATTTGGGGGCAGTGTTAATGAAGGTTCTACCAGAAGTGTGAGAGGAAAATTAATTCAGTGAGTCAGTTTCCTCGGCGGGGGGCGGGAGGGGGGGAGGAGGAAGCCCTTGTAGGAGTCTGAGGATCCTGTTCAGCAGTAGTTCTAATGAAAATCAGTAGGAATCAGAAAAAGAATATGAGGAACCATTTTGATTATTCTAGAGAGAAATCAAAATGTCACAGTTGAAGCTGGGGAGGATTATTATCCCTTAGTGATGATATGAAGATTTCACCAAACATGTGAGAGGATTGACAGCTAATGAGAAGATTTTAAATTATCTTAACAATATGAATTGGCTGTGAAATAGGATAGTAATTAAAGCACAGGAAATATACCTTCCAGTAAGTGTAGTGGGGAAGCTGGGAGACTTGAGTTCTAATCTAAAACTCTCCTGGCCAGTTTTGCCAGTAATTAGTGATGTGCTCAATACCAAGTAAGATGAGGCGGTCTCTAAATTCTGTTACTATCTCACCTTTTTGTGAGGTTTCGATTTCTCCGTTCTTGTCTAGTTGTGATCACTTGTTTCTAACAGCAGCAGCCTCTATGAACAGAAAGGCTAAGCTTTGTTTTTTTGGATATTAGATTTTTTATGGATGTCACCCTGAGACCTAAAATGTGTTGTTTATATTTATTGTTTGTTGTAGTCACTTTAGTTTACTTCAGTTTTTACAATGTGAGAAATACAAAATGTATTTTATTCTCACTTTTACTTAGTGTTAATTTACATTTTATTTCTAAGACCTAATAAGAATAAATACTTTTGTCTCCTTTTGATATTTCTGGAATGGAGGACAGAAATTAATGTTCTGGTCTTATCTAGCCTGATAGTTTTTCTTGTAAATTTTATTTTGATGTCGATGGACCATTTCTCTGACTTCTTCTGAACTGTAGGGGAGGAAAAAGTTTTCCTTCACTTTCTCAGACTTCTAGCTGCATCTGAAAATTAAACTGACAGAGACAAGGTTAACAGGAGAAAAGCATACAAATTTAAGTTTTACATGTCATGGAAGCCTTCAAAAGGAAATAAAGATCCTAAGGGATTTGTTAAACCTATGTGTTTTTATGCTAGACTTGATGCAGAGTGGAAAGTTGTGTAAAGATAATGGTAGGTCACAGGGTATGAAGTAACTGTAGCAAACTGGGAAAACTTTGCAAGCCTGTTTTGTTTGGATTCTTCTGAGTCTATTTGCCCTTTGAGATAAGGATACTCCTTTTCTCTCCCCATAGTGGAGGGCACATCTCACATGAAGTTTTCATGACTTCATCCAAGGGTGAAGGACAGATGGTATGGGGTGTGGCTGGGTGTAGGGAAGGTGAGGGACAATCCATCTTGCTTCTGCCTTTTTCTCATACTCTTTCAATTTAGAGTATTCAGTATGTCAAGGTGCTGTATTTTGGGATAGGGTATCCTGAATCTCATCCTTACTCTTTAAGATGTATGACACAATTGAAAAATCCATGAGATGCACCTCATTATACTTTATGTTTCACAAAACAGACTTGAGAAATCTAGCTCTCATTCCATCTTTATCTCTAATTCATGTCATTTCTCTGTCATTTGGAATTTTTGTTGGTGGTTTTCTAATTTCTTTGTCCATGCAGTAGCAATAACAATAGCCAGCCACAAAAGATAGCTGTGAGAATTGTAAATCATTTTGATAAAAATCTGTTATTCAGTATTGTTGGGAGGATTTTTTTTTTAACCTCAATCCCGAGGGCGGGGCAGGGGGAGCTTCCTTGTCTCACAGCTTCAAAGTATCAAGAGGTGGACACAAAATGAGCAGCAGGCAAAAGTTAATTAGAGCATAAGCTCAGAAAGGAAGAAGAATGGGAAAGCTCTCTCTACAGACAGTGGGCTTTCAAAGGTGAATGCCCACAACTATAGGCAAAGGTCCTTGCTTTATAAGGTTCTCGTAGGCACCCCCCTATTCTTCCCCCTGGTTCCTTCTCAGGTTCTCCCCTCTCTGGCTGGATAACTAGGTGCTGGGTTGTCCATTCCTGAATGGCTCGATTCCATTGTGTGAGGAGTCCAGTTGGTCATATTGACCCACATATAACATAAGTTTTATGGTTTTGCTAGATATTTTTATTGTCAAATTCCTGAGGGAAACCTGAGGGGACTAGGTGGTGTCCTCTACATTGTGAAGAGGGACCTTATGCTGTAGTAAACCGCTCCCAGCATTGTTTGAAAATAAGTGTTTTTCCCCACCCAGGAACATCAGGTCCTAACCTTTCCCTCTCTGCCTATTTTATCCTATCTTTCCCTATTATAGTATATACCTCTGATTTTTATTGTCACAGAAAGTGCTGGGAATTACACCAAATATTTCACATGGAAATAATTCATATTATTTTATGAAGTAATTGTTTTGATGTGAAAGATGATCTAATATCAAAAGGGAGTTATAGTTTACAACTACGTGTATACACACACACGCACATACGTAACGTACATACATACAAGTGTATTGTCAGGGCATTAGTAATATTAATGAAAGTCAGAATTAGAAAGCCTAAGCAATGAGCTTTTTGGAAAATTAATGACTAAACAATATATAATATAAACAATTTATAGTTCTTTATATTTAGAAAATTTTTTAACGTTTGTTTATTTTTGAGAGAGAGGGTGAAAGAGTGCAAGTTAGGGAGGGGCAGAGAGAGAAGGAGACACAGAATCTGAAGCAGGCTACAGGCTGTACGCTGTTAGCACAGAGCTGGACATGGGGCTCGAACTCACAAACTGTGGACTGAACTCAAGTTGTACACTGAACTGACTGACGCCCTTATAGTTAACTCTTAAAGTTATTACCTTAAAATATTACAGTATACATAGATTTTTACTGTAAAAGATTCACACTATTTCAGATTTATATATGTAGTTGAAAAGTCATTAAAAGGCCCCTTTCAGTTTACCCAGCTTTTCTTGGCAAAAATAATCTTTGCCAGTAATTTGGTACACAACTTTATGTCATTTTTCGAGGCAAGGATATACCTTAATAGATTAAGATGCTTGTTGGTGGTATTAAATATTTTTTATACCCAAAAATCTCTTTGAAAAGTTAAAAAAGAAGAGCACAGAGGGTAGTGTAAGAATATTTGTGTTCACCATTCTAAATTGCTTATTGTTTTTGCTACCTGTTTTTTTAAGGAATGAAACAAAGTTGAAGTCTGTAGTATGTATTAAAAACAATGTAAATATTTTATGCTAAATTCTCCCAAAGTTATTTTAGTCTCTTTACATCTTATTTCACTTTTTCTATTCGTAGTTGTCTGTTGCTGATGCCTATAGTTTGTTCATTCTGAATATTTACAGTTTTCAGATTTCCTTTTTAAAAAAATAGGTATTTTTAAAATTCTGAGATGTTTAGTTATGTGCATTAGGAAAACTCAAATTAACTGCTTTCTGAAAAAAATAAGTTCCTGAGATTTCCTTTCAACAATACCTTTTGAAACACAGATAAAATTACTTCCTGTCTCTCAGTTTCCTGTATCCATGGCAACCTCTGTTTTACTCACTAACTGTGGAGGAACCCATGTGAAGAGTGGTGTTTCCTGAGCAAACTATGACTTAAAAAGACAAAAAAAAAAGGTGGAAGTGGGGAGGTCAGCTGTGCCACAGAAAGAAACGGAGCTTAGAAATGTCGCTCTTCAGATTTAGAAAGCAAACCTTTACTTGAATCAGCCGGGTGTCAATAATATGAATTTCCTGTCTTGGTAAGATTATTTATTTAAATATGAACTTTTAGCTGAAATGAAAAGTAATTTGATTTTGTGAAAAGCTGTAGTTTATTTTTGAGTTTAATTGTCCTTTTGTAATGAATTTGTATTTTCATAAATTATGTTATTTGATAGTAGGTCTTAATTTGAAAAGGGACATATTCCATCCAAGACCATTATCCCTACATCATCGTTTGTCACTTTTGTTATTGTTAATTAGAATATTTTAAATTGGCTTAGCAAACATTTTATTTTGCAATTCATTGAATTCGAATTATCATTTTATCAAGCAGTGGGTTAATGGCCTGAAGGTATTGATTCTAGAACCCACTCCAAACTCATTCTTTTATGCCATCACCATAGTAGGATTTATGATACTAAGTATTATTGGCTGACGTTAATAAAAATAAAAGAGAATACAGACTTTTAGTGTTGTAAAACTTTGATTTGGAGAACTTTTTGATGATTTAAAGTTTTACCTTCTTTTTTTATAGCCAATTCTGATATGAACAGAAAAACCAAGAACAGGGCTATGTGTGGATTACATTTTTCTCTGCCTTGCCTACGACTTTTTCTGCTTGTTACCTGTTATCTTGTATTATTTTCCCATAAAGAGATTCTTGGATGTTCGTCCGTTTGCCAGCTCTGCACTGGGAGACAAATTAACTGCCGTAACTTAGGCCTTTCAAGTATTCCTAAGAATTTTCCTGAAAGTACAGTTTTTCTGTATCTTAATGGAAACAATATATCTCATGTGAATGAGAATGATTTAACAGGACTTCATTCTCTTGTAGCATTGTATTTGGATAATTCTAGCATTGTGTATGTATATCCAAAAGCGTTTGTTAATTTGAGGCATCTGTATTTTCTATATCTAAATAATAATTTTATGAGACGCTTGGATCCTGGAATTTTTGAGGGACTTTCCAGTCTTCGTAATTTATATTTACAGTCTAATCAAATAGCTTTTATTCCAAGAGGAGTATTTAATGATTTAGTTTCAGTTCAGTACTTAAATCTACAAAGGAATCGCATCACTATCCTGGGGAGTGGTACCTTTGTTGGTATGTTTGCTCTTCGGATACTTGATTTATCAAATAATAAAATTTTGAGGATATCAGACTTAGGCTTTCAACATCTTGGAAACCTGGATTGCTTGTTTCTAGGAGGTAATAATTTAACAAGAGTACCATCAAATGCTTTTGAAGTACTTAAAAGCCTTAAAAGACTTTCTTTGTCTCATAACCACATTGAAGCCATACAGCCCTTTGCATTTAAAGGACTTGTCAACTTGGAGTATCTCCTTCTGAAAAATTCAAGAATTAAAAATGTTACTAGGGATGGGTTCAGTGGAATTAGTAATCTTAAATATTTGATTTTAAGTCATAATAATTTAGAAAATTTACATTCTGACACATTTAGCTTATTACAGAATTTAATTTACCTGAAGTTAGATAGAAACAGAATAATCAGCATTGACAATGATACGTTTGAAAACATGGGAGCGTCTTTGAAGATCCTTAATCTGTCATTTAATAATCTTACAGACTTACATCCAAAGGTCCTTAAGCCATTGGCTTCACTGACTCATCTGCAGGCAAATTCTAATCCTTGGGAATGTAACTGCAGACTCTTGGGCCTTCGGGACTGGCTAGCATCTTCAGCCGTTACGCTAAACATCTCTTGTCAGAATCCCCCATCCATGCGGGGCAGAGCGTTGCATTACCTTAAATGGACTGACTTTACAAATTGTGTTACATCTTCGACAAATGTATCCAGAGCTTGGGCTATAAAATCTCTTCATATTCATCACAAGACTACTGCGTTAATGATGGCCTGGCATAAAATAACCACAAATGGGAAACATTTGGAAAATACTGAGAGTGTTACTCTCTGGGAACGAAGTCGTACTTCACCCACCAGTAGATTCTTTCAAGAGAATACCTTTGGTAATCCGTTAGAGGCTACTGCAGTGCTTCCTGTGCAAATACAGCTTACATCTTCCGTTAACTTGAACTTGGAAAAAAACAGTGCTCTACCGATTGATGCTGCTTCTGTGTCAGAGAGAACATCTCTTATTTGTGCAAAAGAAGTTGAAAAGTTGAATGAGGCTTTTGACATTTTGCTGGCTTTTTTCATCTTAGCTTGTGTTTTAATAATTTTTTTGATCTACAAAGTTGTTCAGTTTAAACAAAAACTAAAGGCACCAGAAAACTCAGGGGAAAATAGACTTGAATACTACAGCTTTTATCAGTCAGCAAGGTATAATGTAACTGCCTCGATTTGTAACACTTCCCCAAATTCTTTAGAGCACCCTGGTTTGGAGCAGATTCGACTTAACAAACAAATTGTTCCTGAAAGTGAGGCACAGGTGATTCTCTTTGAACATTCTGCTCTATAATTCAGCTTAATATTAGCTGTAAGAAAACTTCAGTTCCATGGACAGGAATTAAACTGAAGCCTCCTTATAGAATGTAAACTTTACTTGGAAATGTAATGAGTTATATGAGCTTAGCCTTAATAAATACATGTTATTAATAACTTGTGAATACTGTATTAATTCAGCATACATCTTCTTTGATAGATGTTATATGAAATAATAATAGCTAATATTTCTGTGTACCAAGCACTATGCTAATAAATACTTCATATATCACTTTTAATCCTAGTAAAGTAGTTACATACATTTTGTAGGTAAGGAAACCTAGGGAGAGTAAGTTTAAGAAATGGTCCCAAATTGGGGAGCCTGGGTGTCTCCTTTGGTTAAGCGTCTAACTTCAGCTCAGGTCATGATCTCAGGTTTGTGAGTTTGAGTCCCATGTCAGGCTCTGTGCTGACAGCTTGGAATATGGAGCCTCCTTTGGATTCTTTGTCTCCCCACCCCCTCATTGGCCCCTGTCTGTCTCTCTGTCTCACTCTGTCTCTCTGTCAAAAATAAAGATTTTTTAAAAATGAAAAAAAGATACGGTCCCAAATTCTCACTGCTTGCGACACTTTTTAGGTCTGATTCCAGAGTCCATGCTTTTAATTCCATGCAATACTGCTGCCTAGTGCTAACTGTGAATGACATAGACATGGTTTCTTTTCTAAGTAGAGCTTGAAATCTAGAGGAGACATATGGCTTCTGTACAGGATGGTAAGTATTGCACTTGCAGGGTATTGTTGGGTATAACGTAAGTGGAGGTGAGAGATAGCTTTATGAGAAAAGTGAGAGATAGCTTTATGAGACTGGATCATGAAGGGTAAATAGAAGAGAGTTGAATAATAGTAGGTAAAGGTAACACCATATCATAGGAGGTGAAGAAAGAAAGAATACTGCTATACTGCTTTTCATGAACTAACTATATTCAGTATAGCCAGAGTTGGGACTTTTCGTAAGATTTCTGTATGTCTTTACAGTTTTGACTAGAGCACTCAAGAATAAAATTGTTGTGTTTTAGAAGGATAGTTTTAGATACAGATCCATTTTTTTCAATTGACTTTGGTTAAGGTTATGTGGCATACCAAAAAAATCTCCCCTCTCCCCTCTTCCATAACAAATGAGAAGTATAGAACTCAACTACAATTTATTTATAACATTATACTTTGAGAATACATTTAAAATTTCAGTGTCTTCAGAAATATGTATCTCACTTCTAGGAACTTAATTGGGGACTTACTCCCGATTCCCTCCTAGCATCAGAGCAGATTTACTTGGTGTTAGATTGTCCTTGAGGACTTGATTGGTATGGACCAGACACTTCAACAGGAGCAGGCAGGAAATCAAGGTCATAGGTGATGGAGTGGAAGCCTGGAGTAAAGGAAGACTGAGATGTCTCATGGGCTTCTGCAGGTGAGGGCTGCCGGTGTTGATAGCTGGAGACTAAGTGGTAGGAAGGGGCAAGGATGGACAGTGTGAGAGAATGAAGGAATTGTGCAAAATTTAGTGGTAGTTGGAAAGAGGATCTTTGGTTACCTCTTTGTTCTCCAACTTTTTTCTCTCAGTAGAGTCCTTGACTTTGTCATTCATGAAGTTCCAGGGTTATGTTGTTGATCCACTCTTCCTCAGAGCTGTGTCTTGAATCAGCAAAAGTTGGACAGATTTTTATTCTCTTTCCAATTGTCTTGCATATATTTTACTTTAGGGATGCCCTAAGTAGTAGTAGAACTTAATTATATCTCACCTACATTGATGTTAGTACATGATAAATATTTGCCCTTAGACTACCCACACCCATTTTTTAAGACTTCTGTTGATGTATAAAGCACCTAGAGGAGTAGACACTCCTGTGTAGCCACCACTCATATTAAGAAGTAGAACACTGAAGCAGGACATATATGTGAACATTTCTTGAACTTCTCAGTACATAAACACCCAAGTATTTGAGCTTGGAGATGGAGGAGGGCCCACCTCTACTTAGGGCATTTTTACTCCGTTATCTTTCCTGCATCACAACAATAATGGTAAAACATGCCCTATTTATTTTTAAGGATGGCAAAAATGGGAGAAAAAACTCTGAGGAACCTTTTACAAGGTTCTGAAAAACAGCTTTATTGTTAGGCCTTCCTACCAAATTGGTGCCATAGGCACTTACCCATGTCCTGTTGGACTTCTTGTTCCTTGTTAGAAGGATCCCACACTTTTACTTGCTTTTTGTTACCAAAGCCCTCTTTTGATCATGTAACAGTTTTCTGTTGCACATTATCTTCATTTTGGTCTGAGCTGTGTGGCATATAGCACTTCTCTGGGAATTTAACTCCAAGCCACAGATATCTTTTCTTATAACTTTAATGACAGCCCAGTTGACTTTTTTCCTATGTCTAGAAGGTGTGTGTGTGTGTATACATATATATATACATACATACATACATACACACATATATATATACACATACATCTATGTGTATGTATGTATATATACACATTCATGATTATCTTGTATAGCTTTCTTACCAACAGTGTCTCTCATTTACAGTGGGAGGTCATATCCCCAACCATATAATTCTGAAACTATATTAAATTCTTTTATATCCCTTTTTTAAAATCCAGAACTGCTCTGTCAAGTGACTCATAGAAGCATCCAAAAGAAGCATTGCTGGGGTTTTTCCGCCTGATGTCTTTCCCACACAGTTCTGTACCATCATTCATCATCTTTTTATGGAAACAGTGTTGTCATTGGATATTGTTTCTTAAAGCATCGTCTTTCTCTTGGAAATCACAGAAGGTGGCAGTTTCTCCTCATGTCATCATATGTAGATCATTACAGTTATTTCTTACTGTCTTAAAGATCATGGGCTTTTTGTTTTGCTTGTATATGTGCACTCAAAAGATTAATTCAGGAATAGTTTATAATATAAAAAGCTTTTGTAAAGATTATTGTTGGATGTAAAAAGCCAACTTTCGTTTTAAAATAAGTTAGTGAATTTCCACTAAGAATTTTTTATCCTGTTTCCTTGCCAGTATTTGTCAAGGGAACTAGATTTATTAACACTTGTTTTCCATGATCATGTAGAGAATTGCTGTGTAGAAAGGGTGTATGTTTCCATTTAAGTGACAAAAGGATTTGCAGCTAGGTCCTGGAAAATATCTAGAGAGAAAAAAGAACTAATGTTAGTGTAAAAGTCACCAGTTTCATATTCTCTAGTGTGGTAGAAATTCTGAAATAAAACTGATTAGTCAGGGCTTTCTTATTTTGCCTTTTTCTTTCAGTAAACTGCTGTTCTTCACTTAATCCTACTAAACTATTAGCAGAAAAGTAAAGAGGGTATTTTATTTAGTTGTCGCTTTCAGTGCTTAAAGTTTATTATTTTCTTAAATTACACTAACTTTATTGACCCCCTGTATTTGAGGTATAAGAATGCAAGAGTGACTTCAAATGTTAATTATTTGTGTGTGATATATAAATAATTGTGGTCTGGTTAGATCAGAGAAAAATGCTAGAATGACTGAGGTTCTGATTTATTTTTTCCTTGGGCCTCCTACTATGAAAAACTGTTAAATCATCAAATTTTGATTGTAGAACTGTTCAGGAAAAGTAACTGATAATTTTGTATTTCTGCATGCCTGTTTTCTTCCAAGATCCAAGGGGATGAAGATATGATATAAATATATCAGTCCATCACTTAACAGAGTTTGAAGCACGTGGTCCATGATGAATAGATCATTTCTCTGAAATATAGAACTATGAAATACTCAATACAAAAAAGTAATGAAAATTGGCTAGTTAGAAAGAAACTAGAGTCCTGTTCATTCAGTCCAATATTTAGGGTAACCAAATGAATATTTAAATTTCATTTGTGCCTTCAGGGATTAAAACTTTAATTTTTCAAAGACTGTTTTTTGAACCCCTGTGGTTGGGTTCATAATGCCACTAAAGCATAGAAATTATCATAAACCAGCATACTAAACACAGAAAAGATGGACTGATTTTTTTTCTTCAGTACTTAGTTTTCAAAAGCAAAGAAAAATCAGTCTGCATGAGGTTCCTGCAATTCACATATTCTATAGACACTTTCATACACCCAGAAAATGCCTTAAAATGCCATACATACCTTTAGAAAACACGAAGACAAGATTAAGAAGTATAGTTTTCAAGACGATGTACTGAAAACTATATGGAATTGTTTTAAATGGTCAAATAATATTTAGTACTATTTTTCATGCCCTCACCTGTTAAATGTTTACATATGTGTAACATCATTTATAACACACTTAACAAAACAAGTGGATGTTTAAAAAACCTGTTTTCTGTAGTATATTTGTAACTTGTGTCTATGTGAATAAATTAATGTATCTACCAAGTATGTGAAACAAGAAAAGGAAAAGTATGGCAAATAAAAAGGAAAAAAACTTTCAGGTGACTAATGTTTTATCCCCTTTGATTTTACTTTCATTCTCCTCCTTCATCCTTAATGTTAACCTTTCTTTGCATTTTCCTAAATGAATGTTTTAGAAATAGATTCCAGCATAGCCACCTCTGTTCTCTTTTCTTCTTCACGTTTAGTGTAATTAATTGTAATGTGTTATCTATAATCAGCTATCCATACTTGCAATTTCCAAAAAAAGATAAGTAAAAGTAATATTGCAAGTAAAAGTAATATTGCAGAAAGAAAATGAGGGAGGGCAGTTCTTGAGCTTTTGGGGATCGTTAATTCCCAGGACTATTTATTGAATGTTCAGATTATGCATAATGTCCTATGGGACATAGAAAAATACAACACATGGCTCTGCTTAAAGTTAACTTAAAATCTTAGGCATGAAAATTGAAAGGACCTTAGGAGAAAGTGATAGATGGCACAGGAGTTGGGTGCTAAATGAGAAGTGCAGACATTTTATGCTACTGGAAATTCCAAGGACAGAGTGCTTACTTACAGTTAGTTACAGTGGGCAGAGAAGACCCCCTGAAGGAAGTGTAAATTAAGGTGAATAGAAAGAGGAGGAAGAGCATTGTGAGGAGCAGGAAGGGAGCAAGCAGATCTGTGAGCAGCTTTTATATGCGGAAGACTAGGACTTAACTACCTAAAAGCCATGGAAGTCATACAGTATAACTTGGGAAAGGTGGGTTTATTAGAACTTTTTGAAGTTCTTGATCACACTTGAAAGTTCTTAGGTTGAGAAGGAGTGAAATTTAAGACACTGGAATAGAAAGCACCCATTTGCCTCCTTGAAGTTCTCAGTAATAAAGAAATGAACAGGATCAGTTGGATCCTATTTAATGTTAAATGAATAAAACTTCGTATCAAAATTGGGATTTTTTACTTAGGAAGCACAACTATTCTAATGGTATCAGTGCAAAATTAGTTAACTTAAAAATG